GAAGCAAAAACAAATTTATTTAAAGTACTTGCCCTCGCTAACTATACATTTTTCCCATCTTTCGGGCAATTTGTGTATACCACGCCAAAAAAATTCCTCATCTTTCGAGGCAAACCACTCATCAAGCGGACATCTTCATAAGAATCGAAGTGCCGCTCAGCGAGCGTGGCCCATCGACGAAAACAGATGATAGTCAGAAGGTGCCAGGTCTGGTGAGTAAGCTGGATGGGGTAGCACTTCCCAGTTAAGTACTCTCCAAGTAGTTTTGGATCATTGTTGACGTGTACGATGGTCCGTTGTCGTGGAGGAAAATCAACTTGTCATGATTTTTCCGATAATGCGGCCTTTTTTCACGCAGAGCACGATGCAATTTGATCAGTTATTGGTGATAACGGTGAGCATTAACACCAGGTTTTAACAGCTCATAATTGATGACACCCTCCTGACCAAACGCACAGCATCGTCTTCCGTCCGAAACGATTTGGTCTTGAGGAAAATGTTGATGGTTGGACGGGATCAACTCAAGATTTCTTGCGTTTAGGATTCTGAAAATATATCCACTTTTCATCGCCTGTCACAATCCGATGCAGGAACGACTTTCTTTTTTGTCTGGCAAGCAGAATTTGGCATCGCTCCATCTCCCTATTGTTCTATTCATGCGATATCCATTTTCCGATCTTTTGAACCTTCCCCATGACATGTAGTCGCATGGAAATGGCTGCTTGAGAAATGCCCAATTGCTCGGCAAGCATTTTTTGCGATTGGGTATCGTCCTCGTCCAAAAGAGCTTGCAATTGACAGTCCTCAACCTTCCTAGGCCGATTTTCACGCTTCTTGTCACTCAGATCAAAATTGTCATCATTGAACCAATGAAACCAATCTCTGCACGTTGTTTCCGATAAAGCATTGTCGTCATAGGCCTCCACAAGCATTCGATGCGATTCGGCAGCCGATTTCTTCAAATTGAAACAGAAAAGCAAAGCTTCCCGCATATGCTTTTTTTTTTAGCAAAAACTAGACATGATTACGAAAGAAAAAATATATGTTGTTGTATGAAATTGCTGATGATGTGCACTGGTTAATGTTGACAAATGTCAAACACATAAAAAAAAGTATGTTGTGTGTGCAGAGTAGCTTTGTACACTCACTAATGTCACCTATGAGCATATAGCGGATTTAAGGTTATACACCTAGTATATTTATAATATCATATTGTGCAATATTTCCACAATTTGTTTATTGCGACGAATATGAATTATAAAATGATTAAAAGTTGGAATTCATTTAAAATTTATTATTCAGATCTCAATATGAAGTTACTCAATATGAAGTTATTCTTAATCACTTTCGAAAAGTATGTACATTTTTTTGAGATACTTAGAAATAATAAAATAAAATAAACCTATATGACAACTGATGATATTCGAAAAATTTTTTTATTATGCAACTGAATTATTAGTCGAATTAATCGAATATCTTCAAGTCGAACTATAAACTATGTAATAGATACATATGTACGTATACGTTCGACTTTTATTTTTATTCAGATGCAACAATAATTCATGTTCCCCAATTCTAATATTCTGCCATTTTTTCTTCTTGTGAGAAAGGGAGAGAATGAAATTTATATAAATCAATGATCAAGATAGCGGTTTCTCCACAGGTATGGTTTCAAAACAGACGGGCAAAGTGGAGAAAGCAAGCTCGGTTACAATTGCTGCAGGATGCGTGGAGAATGCGATGCTTGGGTTTAGGAAGCGCTACGCCGCTGCTCCTCGGCCGATCACCTTCCGGTGGTCTCGAGAGAACTAGCGACGCGTCCTCAACTTCTCCGTCATCCTCATCAGCTCTTACGGGCTCGCCGAATACGACTGACAAATTACCTGAGATTGGCAGTCCCATATCGGTCTGCAGAGATTTTCGAATTTTATCTTCACTGCCACCTGGGTAAGCATTTTGAATGCAGAAACATATTTTTAATAATTATATAGGGTGATCCAGAACAACTCAGGTATTCCTGAAAAGACGTATTTCTGATCTAATTCTAAGATGATTTTTCTTTTATGAAAATTTTATCCTTAGTTTTCAAATTATAAGAAGAAATAATTAACATATCACGGACCGCGAAGAAACGGGAGCGATGCTCGGTTAGACGCGGATAGAGACCCTATAATCAGCGTTTGATGAAAGCGGGCAATTTCTGATTGGTTCTCAACCTTGCTCCATTCCATATTCTTCGGATAACTTCGTACATTGTTAAAAAACGAGTGCGAAGAAAAGAAAGAAATAGATAGCTACAAGCAGATGAATAAAACCTGTGTCAAAGAGATTAGAAATCGATTCGAAATCTCAGACAAAAAGAAAATTAACAAATTACAATTGCACAATCAATTGATCAACTTGATTGATTTATTCAGGTTTATTTTACATATTGTCTGTCACATATTCTAACTTTTTGGACATGCATTCGTACGAGAAAGTAATATCTGTTATCTTTTTCTATCCGCCATTTTTGGTCCACATTCGCCAAACTTTGATTATAGGATCTCTAGACACGCTTTACGCGCATACAGATCGGATGCATCACACGTTTATAAAAACACATTCATTCTCCTTTTCTCCTCTGTCAGACCATCTCTTTGTCTTTCACATACTTTAAATATGCTAATTTCATTCAATTATAAATTAAAATGATGAAATTGAAATGAATTTTTTGAGTATCGAATTGTTTTTTAATTACACTGATAAAATTATTAGAGAAATGTTGTAAAAGAGCGAAATTAAATAATAATTACGTACGATAAGCGTTATAAAATTAAGCATTAAAACTATTGACATACAAATCATACAATTATTTCAGTACGTTGAATTCTAAAAGTGTTTCTTACAATTTAATGTACTGAAATACCTGTTAGACTTAATTAAAGTATGTTTGTGACTATGCTTGTATACGGACTCACGTGTTTTTTTCTTCGTGTGATTTTCAATCGCCGAATAATCAATTGTTTGTGATTGTTAATAATTAACTGATAAATCGATTAACAAATTCCTTGTTTTATCAAGTGTAATCGAGGTTAAAGGGTAATTAATATTTGATGAAAGTGAATTTACAGTAAACAGTTGTATCGAGCACAGCTATTACGATGCATCCAAACTTATTTCTCCGTCTGTTTCAAGCTAGAGCAAAATGGAATCATTGAACATCTACAAAATAATAACAATTTTATAATTAAGATAATAATAAGCTTTTAAAATGTATTTGTTTTAAACATTTAAAACTCTTTGCCATAAAGCACGATCGCGTTTCTTATAAAACTTATTATAAGTAATAAATGCTACGAGTGCTATAGCGCAAATAAAATTATTAGAGAAATTAATAAATATTCCCCTTTACATAGCCGACCTCAAATGACCTCCGAGTCTTGACTTTGACTTTGATTCTCAAGAAGATCAAGGTCATTGACATTCGTATCGTTATTCATTAAAATTATTATTAATGAAAACATTTTTATGAATAATAAGTGATTTTTGAACACGTTGTATATTATAATATAACAGTCCTTTGTTTGACTTGGTAGAGCAAAGATGTTACTCCATAATTTTTTTCATTTAACTTACAATTATGAAGATCTTATAAACTATTTATTTACCATGGATTATTAGGATTAGATTATGGCGTAATATGCGTTCTGCGTTCTTTATCACGATTTGGTGTACGAGAAGTACATTACGAACATTATTTAGCAGAATTTATAATTAAAAAATGATTTTAATGACAGACTACCGCAATTTTTTAAATTAATGGCTTCTTTATATCCATTAAATTATATATCGTCAAATAATAAATAAAATATTATACATTCATATTGGAATGTGTATGTTGTGTTGAAAAACTGTCTTATTAAGAAAAACGTTTTCATGATCTTGACCTTCTTGAGGGTCAAGATCACTTGGAAATCGTTTAGGCATGGCTATATAAAGAAGAACATTTACTCAATTAAGTTTAACAAGTATTTCATTAAGTTAAATTGTAAGAAAAGAGAATTAGAATTCATCATATTGAAATAATTGTATGACTTGTATGTCAATAATGGTTTAATAATACTTAACTCACTAATTATTGTCTAATTTCGCTCTTTAAAACATTTCTAACAATTTTATATTTTTTTCATCGTAATTAAAAAACAATTCGATACTCAAAGGGTTCGATATTCATTTCAGTCTCATTATTCTAATTTATAATTTAATGAAAGTTACATATTTAAAATTTGTAAAAAATAAAGAAATAGCGTGTCAGAAGGGAAAGGTGAGAACGATAGTATTGTTATAAAAATTGTGTAAAAATTTGTCCCTGGCAGAAAAATTTCTATGCCAAGTATGCCAAAAAGTATGCCTTTCTACTTCTATGATTATGGCGTAAGATCATGTTATTAAACATAGAAACTACGCCAAGCTATGTGAGATACGTAAAATGGCGTACTTAGACCTAATTAGGCATAGAAAGTACGCCAAAGTACGCGCAACTAATAATCATTACTTCCTGAACTATGCGTTTCTATGCCGAACTACGCCAAATTAATTTTTATTATTTTGTAGTATTTCAAGAAAATATGCAATTCTATGTTTTTTTACGCGAAATTACGCTCTATAATCTGATAATTGGGCACAGAAATAACTTCATTCAGAAAAATGTTTTGTCACAACAAAAATTTTTTGCGATAACAAAATTTGTTTGTCAATACATGATCAACTTTTTATTTTATTAACAATTATTTCAAATTATTTTGTTAACCTGAATTTTGTTGTCGTAATTTACATTTTGTTGCAATAACAAAATTTGATTTTCTATTCTGATCGATTGGTTGAAAATACCAAATAATTGAGGTTTGCTGTCATAACAAAATATTTTGATTGTTTATCCTGATGGAAATCGTTAAAATTGTTGAAAATTACTGAAATCTATATCCATTTGATCCATTTCAGTACAATTCATATAAATGAAATGAGTCAATTAATACAATATATATTTCATACAATTTTGTTTCGAAATTGATTTACCCAAAATTAATTAAACTGAAATAATTTGTATCCGAATATATAGTAAATTTATATACATTATTACATCATGTTTTTAATCAAAACAATTATATGACATAAGTTATCAATTAATCACCATAAAAACGCTTATTTCATCGTATATAATTTAATATCATATTTGAACAAATTATATTATCGCATATCGTCTCAAATTATATACTATAAATTTTATTTTTATGGATCATATGGATTATAGAATTTTGCGAATTTTTACCATATAAAATGTTTATATGTATAAAATGTTATATGTATTTTAAGCATACAAACTTTTCCACAACCATTATGCATATAAACTATTGCTCGATTATGGAAAGAAGCATACGGAATTGTTAACCATGAACCTAAAATTTGCATTTCGAACGCATTAATATGATTATTAAACGATACAGTCATTTCTTGAAATAAAAAGTAAACATTTTTCTTATTATCTAAATAAACTATAATAATAAGGGATTAAATCCAAACCAAACCAAAAATAGAAAATATATTATCTTCAACGTAAATATTAAGAACTAGAGTATTTTTGTAAACTATACTATTAATGTTAATCCAAGAAATAGGACGATAATATTTTAATAAAAGATAGCAGTAAGAAATTAGGAACTTTGTGAATGTGTAATTTCAGGATCAAATTAAATATGCATTTCAAGTCCAGTGTTACTAAACAACCTATTGTTTAGTATCAATTGATGCTTTAAAATTAATATCTTTAATGTATTTATTCTTGAACATGAAACATGTATATGGCAGTCGTCTGTTACGGTGGTGTTGTGAGTGTACGGCGATGTTGTGCGTGTGCGGCCGTCGCTTTCGGCTTGACTATCGCCGGTAGCGCGCAAGCTATTCTCACAAGGAGGAAGGATTTCGTCGAGTGACTAGATCGAGATGTGACTATTTACAATGTATTTATACTAGCTATGTACAATGCAGGTAGAGGACTGTTTGTGGTACTTTGTATGGCCCTAAAAAGAGCCGTTGTAACGCGATATCTACCGCGAACTTTCGCGAAACGAAATTGGCAGCTTGCAGCGTTCACTTAGCGGGGCCCCAGCTTTCGTTGTTGTTGTTGCAGCTAACCTTGGTGGAGTGACCTGAAGATAACTCTCCTTCGCCAAACCAGCGGCGTATGCGGAGAAAGCTGCATTTGCCTCAGCTTCTGTGACATTTCCCACTCGTTCCCCGACGTCTGTGTGCCGGTGATAGTCCTAAGCGGTGTCACAGGCAGCGGTGAGACGGTGGCCAGAATGGCGAGATAGTTTGGCGACGTATATCTCCGGAGCCGGCAATTCCACGTGCTGAGGAGTACTCGTGGCGGTCGTGTGAACCTCAGACGCTGCGATGAATCGAAGCGAATGAGTCTCCACTTGACGGCGAGCGCGGAGTGACTGGCGTTCGTTACTTCCCTCTCTGGCCGCGCCTGCAGGCTGCTTCTCTGCGAGGCTGGGCTACTCCTCCGCTACCGGATTGCTGCTGAACGATTCCTCTGCGGTCCAGCTGTTGCTGATCGGCACCTCTGCTGTCCGGCTGCTACTGGGCGGCGCCTCTATTGCCCAGCTACTGCTGGGTAGTGCCTCTGCTGTCAGGTTGCTGAGTAGCTGTAGTTCGGCCGATAGACGACTTTCGATCGTCTCGAAATGTTTCAGCTTGATAGCTACACTGGTTAAACACGTGTTCAGGAGTGCAATGAGCGCGTCTTTCTTCACTCCGGCAGGCCTTATATTTCCCGCCGGATGGATCTCGAGCGCGAATTTTCGTTTAGGCGCGTCAGCCCTCTAGGGGCTGAGTTACGGTACTCGCGCTTCGTTGCACACGCGTGCCGCGACTTGTTGCCGAGCAGGTGGCAGTCTTGT